ACAGTATGCGCAACAGAGCGACACGGATATCTGTCCAGATTTGAAACCTTAATTTGGACTTCAGTGTACGTATCGTTCATGATTAACATCTTATCCCCACATTCGCCCAAAAAACCTTCGTTTTTCTATTTGTATAATCGGCAGGAAAAAAAAGTGTATATTAGGCTTTTCCCGGTCGTTTTAAACTATTTTAACCTCTTTAAAAATCATGACTGTCATAATCGGCTCCATCGTGCTAATGATAATTCAGGAGGTGATTCTTCACACGCTTTTAGTAAAAAATAAGTACATCGGGGAAAAAAAAGTGTTTAACAAAAAGGTTGAAACACCTGGGTCAATGCAGCGAATGAAGTGTAGCACGTTAGCTTCATCTAAAAAGCCTTGCCGAAGTGAAACAGGTGAACAATCGAGGCATCTCGGTCTTTTTGTCTGTGTCAAAGCCAATACAGTACATGTTACAAGACCTGGGATATCACAGGCGCTTAGATAACCAAACAATAACTTGTTGAAATAATAGCATTAATTAAAATCCTATAATCCTTAAGTTTTACACACTTTAAGTCTTTAAAGCATCTCGATCTGACTCTGCCTGCGAAAGGAAAGAGCCTCAATAAAAAAGCAGTACATCGCATCATCAGCACCTTTACCGCCACATAATTTAATCATTAAAACGGAAAAACCAAGGGGAAAAAAAGTTCTTAAGAGGTTTAAACTTACAGGTAGCTACCACTGGTCAGGATGAGGAATATCTGTGGGTAATACACTGACAGCAGTACACTGCGTGAAGAGAAGATGATCATCATGGCATGGAACTGCGGCCGTTTTCGGATGAAGTCAAGTAATTCCTTAGTCCTGTCGCGTTTTAATCCCCTTCCACGGAACAGATCGCAGTTCCCCTGGTTAAATGCGATGTGTCTGCGGTGTTGGCTGACTGCTGGTGCTATGCAGCTCCTATGTCCCAGGGCAGTGTATGTGCTGCGGGCTCGGAGATTGACTCTGTCATGTCTCGGCGGTAGAAGCTGTTACAGAGTGTGGTTCTCGAGCTGGAATGATGATGGTTTAAGAGATTTTGGATGGCAGAAAGAGCATTTCTCTTCTCTCATGAGAGACAAGGCTGCCATTGGGCAGAGAGGCACAACAATCCGCCCACTTCTGTAACACAACGGGACAATAGAGTGACAATGATCGGCTCCGGAGACAATCCTTCATTCATCACATGAAACAAAATAAATCGGCTCGATAAATAAACATACAAGAATACAAGAAGCCCGGTTTTCCGCTGAACGCAATCCGCTGTTTATTCAGAGTTTAGTCAGAGGCTGTGACTTTGTGCTCTGGCGCTTACTTACAGAACACGTTTTATTTCCTACCAGTTTGAAAACAGTTGAAACAGTTCTGAAAAAGCAAACTTCCAGTCTTTGAACACAAAATAACTGTTTTTTTTTATTCTGCAATGACAAAAGAGGTTCTGACTTCATCCTGTATCTCCAGGTTTCAGAAAAAAGGGGGAAAGCAAGAATTATTAATAGATTAATGATGATTAAACGATATAGCCTATACTAAAGTTTATATGAAGGCATAGATATACTCGCCACCGTTGGTGGAAAGCTCCTAGATCATAAAGTTTCTTTTTGCCAATTAATTTCGTAAAATTTGTAATACTATTATCTTTGTAGCTGCAAGAGCTTATTACTGTGGACAAAAAGGCTGCAAAAAAAAAAGCTCGTCTGATCTGTAGGAAACCAATATCTAGATGCAGTGAGTAAAGTGGACAGATTAGATTCCAACCATTTCTATTCTGTTAATATCTTACCCGGTATGAGAGGAACTGTCGTCCTAATTTGTTCTGATTTAAACGTCACAAATACTATGTTGTACTGTAGCAAAAGATCATACTGTGTGCCCAAATAAGATGTAAAGGTCTTTTGTCACGGTTTTGCATCTTTTTTATTTTTAGTAAAAAAAAACAATATCGCATCAATATCTACAGTGTGGATGCCAACTAACAGTCGTGGTCCTCTCATTTTTATTTGCACAAATGTTACATATCGCTTTCCATCTCCTGGTGATGAAGCTTTTTCAGATATTTTTTAGAAAGCGCTTTACGGGCACTCAAGCGCAAACCGAAGAAAACGTGTAGTGCATATACAGTATATTACAACATCCGTGAATTGAAAACAGAATTTGCATGAACTGAAAGGCTCGACTACATGTGGCATTAAAATTATAGGCTCCTCTAGAAAACATTCTGAATTATTTCTGAGATGTTTTGTCCTGTTTCACGGATCACGATGAGCTGACTTTATCACTCGTCCAATCCTTCAGCGTTGCCTTAGTCTTTGGTGTGTTAATCGATTAGGTGACGCCTTTTCTCCTGTAATTAGTTAACACTGGCACAAAGCTCTAAGAGATCTAAAAGAATGTTATCCGTTAAGAGCTTTGGAAAAGTGAAAACTGGGATCTTTGGATTATTGGTAGGCCCCTGGCTGTCAGTACCGCAAAATACAGGAGAGCACTGGTTCTAGAAATTCTAATAAAAGTTATACTTAATAACAGTACTAGGTTTAAACTTAATTATACCGCTTCTTAACTTGCATGGTGAAATCATAGTGCTTTTCATATCAGACTTTGATCTGTGTATATTTATAATTTAATGGCTAGAATATGCCGGTAGAAGACTATGCTACATCGGATAAGAGAAGACATTTTGCACATTGAGCGTGGTAAGAAACGCAAACGCATACAATACGTACTGTAGGTGTATGAAATTGCTTGTGCTTGTCTAATAAAATTAGTGTGAAACATGTTTGCAGTGCTTGCGTTAAACGTCTTAAAAATAAAGAACTGAGTGCACACGTAGTATGATGTTTTCCGTCTAAAATTTACAACGTAAATAAGAGGCAAACTGAAATGCAGCAGTTTATTATTTGGCAATGTGTTCATTACTGTGTGAGGTTGACTGGACCTTTTGGTTGCAAATGAATGCGTATTGGCTACAAAGTGTAATCGGTCCTTAGTCACGTGTCCAGTTACCTCTTTAGCATCACTGAACTATTCTCTGGCTAAAAAACACGTTGTAACAACTCTCCATGAACACAATGTCTAACGTTTGAGGAGCAAACGTCATCGAAATTGATATAAATGCCTAGCTGGTTACCGGTGAGCTAATGCTACAGAACAGAGCGTTAAAGAGCAGGCCATAAGACTTAATAGGTCTAACCCATGAACAACAAGAACTCCATACAGCCTCGCTTGCTGTATAACGTTACAGGTGCACATTCTACATTGTACCTGCGCCAAACAACGCTTGCTGCCGGTTCAGCCCAAAAAGTTTACATATGCGGAGTCAGTAACACAATATGAGCTTGGTAAAACATCTGTGGAGAAAAACTTAAAACATGCACAGTTGCTTGTCGCTTAGAAAGCAGGTTCTTATCTCATTTCTGAACCGCTGCACTAATTTTCACTTATGGTAATTCTGTAATACGTACTGTATGGTCTATGGCGTTTTGGAAAGTTACTGTACATGAACCACTTAGTCGTAATAGATTAAATCTCGGTATAAGGATGACATTTTGTATAAGCAGTCTAGGAAGCATCTTTTTTTTGTAAACAGAATTCCAAGCAAAGCCTAATGAAACTATAAAATACGTAACAAATAACTCTTTGCTTACCCGTTTTGGTCAACTTGATTATTATCCCACTATCTTTTCAACTCAGCGGGTTAAACTTTCACTCCTAAAACACTGAACTCACCTGTTAATATGCTACCATAAATAAACAGCTGTTTTGCAACGCGCGCATGTGTGAAGTGGTGTTTGAAATACCTACAACCGCATTTTAGCGTACAGTATGGAGTCCATACAGACGGGGGTGAGAAGGAGTAGGTTTTCTATGGGTTGTACAGTATGTGTGACTTACTACTAAAATATATTGTACTTCAGAAGAATGATCTTTGAACATAAGAACTTTTACAACCGAAAAGAGGCTATTGGGCCTATCTAGATCACTTGGTTTTTAGTAGTGTCTTTTTGAACGAACAAAACCAGGGTATCGGTTTAATAGCATGAGAAACGACATCCCCAACCCTTTGTGTAAAGCTGTACATGTTCTCTGTTTGAAATTAATTTCCCCGTGCCTTGGTTGGGCTTCTGTTATTGTAATGGAGGTGCTATCACCAACAGTTTTATAGTATCTCCCTTAAGAAATTCAACACAACACATTCCGCAAACTTTATTCATTTAACGGCGAGAGACCGAAAAAAAAAATTTCCGTCGCCTGCATTGCTTTGTAGGTGGATGATGAGGCTGTCACAAGAGGACAGACTGATGTAATAAAACAAAACCTCTTATGAAACGAATGTGTCAGTTCAATTCCGTAAAGAAAAAGAAAGAAAACGAGAGACTGAAACTCCATACGCATTGGCCCTGCTAGAAACAAGCTCGGGTATTGCAAAACAGGTAAGCACTCCGTCTGGGTTGTGGAATGTGGAAATACAACTCGGCCAACAGCTATGTGATGAGGCTACACAGGTACTGAAAAATCTGGCAGTGAACTTGAAACATTGTATACGACTAAATGCAAGACATCAGATTACAAGTACTATCAGTACAAAACCGAGACTAAAAACGGCACAGACAGCAACAGGAGGAGGGGGGACTATTTTGTTTAAAACATTTCTACATTTTTAATCTGAGCATCAGGTATACTCTTATTGCTAAATGTACAGGAGACCGCGTATCAAGTTCATTTTAACAAGACCGCCTGACGGACAGCACAGAATTAAACAAGCTCTAAGCACTGGGTATGAATTCAGGGTTATGCCCATTCCTATTTAACCCCATTGATATCTATAAATACTAAAGCGTTACACTTGCCTATGCAGTACGCTGCGCAAAACGGCAAGAGACAGAAGGTCGTTTCGTTCACTTTTACACATGATTTCGTTTCACATGACTAAGCGCTTCAACCACATTGCCTCGGTTTATAAAAACACTCACCCCAGTTTCAGATAGATGATTCCAAAACACAAAAACACGCAAAAAATCCACTGGCGAAAGGGTCTGTGCATGATCTATCGGCTTCCAGCAAGTGCCATTCACAAAACAAATGGTTCAAAAATCCCCATGCATACTAGCTGTGTTTTTCAACCATTCCAAGCGCAGAAAACGTTGCCGTGTTGCCCAACAACGCCACGTACAATCTTTGGTTCTTTTTTAGTTCCATGATTTGTTGGATATCCGCTAAATTCTCAGGTGCAACACCAAGGTGGAATCCAGAAAGCTTCTGGAGTACAATATACAGTACAAGGAGCAGCAAAAACAAAAATACGCCCGAGGAATGACCGCTCGCATTATGTTTTAAGTTCGCTTTCAGACTGCAAGGAAATCAGTTTTTACTTGTTCAAACATCCCTGCAGGTATATCGCCCCCCACAACTCCAAACACCTACTCTTCAAAATCAACCTTTTGGACACGGAAAAATCGTCTTACAATGCCATCCTGCACATACTCCACGATCCTGCTGTTTTGACGACATTTTAAGTTCTTTTCATACTGTAGCTCCAGGTATTCTCCAGGTAACAAAAAAAAAAGACTATCCACGCCTCTCTATTGAATCACAGCGGATGGGTCGGGCTCTGTGCAGTTAAACACGTGCGATCTTTCAGAACGCCTTGAACAAAAGAATTGATAGCTTTGATCTATTTAGCTACAGATAAATGCACTCTGAAACTTATGGCTTATATAGGCATTTTTCCCTATATAGACTTTCACATTAAGCAACGAAAAATAATGTGAAAACGTATGCTTACTGTCTACTAACTGGAAAATGGGAGAGCACTCATGTAGGGATTCCTAACATTTTCCAAGAACCAGGCTGTCATGAATTCACCCATACAAATGCTCTAGACACCGTGGGCTACTTGTGAATGAATTATACAAGCCCATGTAAGTGATCCGTAATCTTCAAAGCAGACACTAAGGGATTTCGTTTTCTCGAGATGAAGTTTTTTTTTTTTCTGTCGCAGACGAGCTCTGAAGGAGAGCGTCAAAGTGCGCCACACCACCTTTTCCATACTGTTTTGGCAGGTTGGAAAATAAGCGGGTTATTGATACTTGAATGAGGCTCTGGATTCATAGCTGAAACGTTGCGGGTGCAAATTTCAAACCCCCATATTGGGCATTTCTGCTGTACCTTTGAGCAAGGCACTTCGCTTCAACTGCTGCAATATTCGTTAAAACGCCCAGGTGTGTAAATTGGCTCCGAATTGATCTACATTTTGTAAGCGCCCGCCGTCCACATTAATTATAAAGATGGATTTGCCGATGCAACACAAGAGGTTACGGACGAGAGAAGGGCATTTGACTCTATTAATTTGTTTGGTAGTCAGTAGCTTCCCTGGGGTTCCAATGCAGTTACTTGAGAGACATTCTCTTCAACAACACGGCTGGGCATCTTGTGGATAAAGAAATGCCACCTGTTCATCCGCTTCTACCGTACTTTTTTACACGTTTCCCGTGTTGCAAGAGCGTTATAAAGTCTGCCCGTTTCTAAGGCAATGCAAATTACTCGGATATCATAAATTAAAAAAAAAACGCAAGAAGGCCTTTCACAGGAGCATTTAATAACTAGCTGTAAAAACAAGAATAGGGTTCAACGATAGCTGCTGTACGCCTAAAAATGTCAATATTCCTTCGCACCTAAACCATTTTGGAGCTGGGTTGGGGGTTTTGTATAATTTAGGCATAACCAAAAGAGCGAAATCCCAAAATACTGGAATTGACTATAGATAAGGTCGAAAATAACAGCTAGAATTCATTCGTGTCTTGCACCTACCCAGTGAGTTTATGCTGTACCCCGACAATCCGTTACAAAAGTATCGGAAAATGTCCTGGTAAATCCAGGTAACTCCAGTTTCGGCTAGATCGATATGTCAACAAGAGATTATACAAAATGCCACTCTCTGTGAGATTCAGAGCACGTCCTCGTAATTTGCGGGGTTTTCTTCGTCACACTTGACGTACCTTCTATTGTTAGAAAGTATTTTATTTTACACAAACGTTTCTTTACTTTTCACTGTAGCGTTTAACCCACTGTCAGCTGTGTAAGACCTATGATCCCTATAGGGTACCTATGTATTGCGGTTTACAGGGCTTTTACTTGTGAAATCCTTTAAATACGTTTCGATTTATTTGCTTGAAGTTTAATGAAAAGGGTGCTTTATTCTGAGGGGAGTGACTTTTCTTTCTTCCCGAATCTACCTTAGGTTGAATCAGGTGAAGGTGAATGAATGACTATATACAGTACAGTAAATGAGCAGTCTTATTGGGCTGCTGTAAAGAAGACGATACCTGCGGATCCTGTCTTTGCAGTTTCTTTAGTTCACTCTTCTGCTGATTATACCGCAACATAACACCCCCGTGTGGCGACAGACTGGTGTAGCGACCTACTTTTGACTCCAGAAAAAAGTTGAAGTCTGCAATATCACGGACAAATCGAGACTTCTGAAAAAGTCATAGTTAATAAACAATTCGTATCCGCCCACAGGTAACCGTCCGTCTGCTCAGCTCGGTTACTGCATTGTATTCACCATTAAAATGTACGCGTACATTTTTTTTTTCCCAATTTTCTCAGCCTTTTAGTTCAGTGTCTGCTGAGGAAGTCCCAACTATGCTATTTTCCGCCTTTTCAGTTGTTTTAATAAGCGACAGTTAAATTTTAAAAGGCCTCAACTGCGAAACCCTCAGTTTTAAGTTTTCCATACGACACGATCTGCTTTTATAATTTTCCATTTCCTTAATGGGCAATGAAGAGCACAAGGTGGCATCTAACTTCATGCACATTGGTATCGATACCAATAAGATCCCTGAATACATACGTATAAATAGTTCTGGTAATATGTCCACTAAGTCATCAAAACTCATTGGAATACACCTCTCTCTTATAAACAATGACTGGCTTTATGCGAGAGTGAGGAGTTTCTGCTCTGCTATTGTATCCTGTGCTGTGGTGAAGTCCAAATTCCTGGCATTCTTCTGGTTACCTAAACAAGTCCTGCAACATTCAGAATTGATGCTCGAATTCCACACTCCTCCTCCTTGACATACATCTGCAACCCTGATCCCAGGGAGTCACAGTCCTGTGATTATATGCTGTAGGTAGCCCCATCAGTGGTGAGCAAGCACTGCAAGTGAGAGCTCTTGTAAGAACATTAACTCCTTCTAATTAATTCAATTCGGTCACTCAGAGGACTGAGTGAGAACTCACTGGAGGTGCAGCCCTCTGTCCTGGCACATTACAGAAATGTAATGGAGCTGTTTGTAAGGACTGATGCTTCAATGTTAGTTTCTTGAAAATCTCTCCCCCCCCCCCCCCCCCCCCCCACAAACATCACATTGGTTTCAGTCCTGCTCAGCCTGTATAATGTACCCTAGTATTCGCGACTACCTCCAATATGCACCTGTTCTTGTAGTCAGCAGGTATTACGCCATTTAAACATGGTGCGTTTGAGTCTGAAGAGGTATCTGTGATGTGAAATGACCGCCTATGTTCGAGTGCATGAAGCAGTATTCTGAAACATTTTGCTGACGAGTATGTACTGTATTTACTCTGCAATAGTCATTTTCACAGTGCAGCACTGAACCTATGCATTATCCCTGCATGTGAAAATCAGTTAGTGGCCTTGAGAAAGCATGACATAATGAATATGGAATCAAAATCCCAAACTTCCCTTTTCAATGTAATAGTATACAATTGAACGAGACTACAGCTGTGCATTTAATGCAGGCTTGTACAAGGATGTATTTAGCAAAATATGTGAACAAGCACAGTAATTCAGCCCAGAGAGTCTTATTTAATCTAGTTTCTTCATGCATGTGTGGTGTTACGGTACTGTACATGATTAACAAAAAATGTGATAACGGGTAAATGAATTGCCATTAAAATTAAACTGTGGATTAGTTTCTGACCACTAGGTGGGAAACAATTGGATTAGTCTTCAGACTTTTATTAATACCATTATGGTTTTTCCTGTTATTGCTTACTAATGGTAAGCAACATTGGTCACCATCAGACTTAAACACAGCCCTGATGTGTTAATCTAAAAAATTAAGCTTTTTTTAAGGAAAAAGAGCATTCTTCCCTATGCACAAGAAATCCAAAACCGAAATGCTGGTGTGGTGATCCTGTATTACAGGAGATGCAGTCTTTGGGAGAAGGCATTAAACAAGGTTCTGATGACTGGTCATTAAACATCCCGTGGTAGTATTTTGAGCGTCCAAATGTTTTGAAATATTTATATTTTGTTTGTGTACAGAATGTGTAATTCCACACTTCTAGTATCCTCATGGCCCAATTTGTCCCTCTTTGCTTCTTCAAGGGTTTGGATTTAAGAATAAACTTACCCCTTAAATATTTTTAATCTTTTTACGTGTGTTCAGATTCTCCACACTGCTTTGTGTTGAATGTAGCTGCTACCCTCTGGCCAAGGCCGTTGACTATGGCAGTGTCTACAACTACTGTTCTCATCCTCTGATGAGTAGCTCCTACCAAGTAGGAAAGTTAAACTCCAATTACTTGCAGCACTAGTGATGTAATTGCTACTAGAACAGGTTGATGTTGACTCGCCTCATTTAGGAAGCAGCAGAGATGTATACTGTGGGATAAGAAAGCAGTGGAATGACATTGCAGGATGTGGGCCCTCTCTGTAGAATTAACTTCATATTCTTAATTCCTGTGCATCAATAGAAAAACAGCAATAAAGTAACTTGAAACTAAACCTGTTTCTAGCTAATAAGTGAATATCAGTTTGTTTTGTCAGATTTAGATAAACAGCTTTGTACCATGTAGTGTACAGTGCATACGGAACTCTGTGCAGGCCTGCTCTCACTGTATGCAGTCATTGCAAGTTAATCATTAGGCCCAAATGTCCTTAATGAGTTAGAATGGAATGCTGCTCCCTTGAGACTTCTAATTATCTGATTGCTTAGCATTAAAATATAGCCACAGGTCTATGCCAGGTCTTGCAAGAAACCATATCGCCCTACAACTCACAACTAGCAGCCCCACTGAAGCTCAGCAGGTGTGAGCCTGGCCAGTCCCTGGATGGGAGACCTCCTGGGAAAAACTAAGGTTGGTGCTGGAAGAGGTGTTAGTGGGGCCAGCGGGGAGCGCTCACCCTGCGTTCTGTGTAGATACTAATGCCCCAGTATAGTGAAGGGGGCACTATACTGTAAAAAGGCGCTGTCATTCAGATGAGAAAAAAAAAACGATATCCTGACTCTGTGGTCATTAAAAATCCCAGGGCGTTTCTCGAAAAAGAGTAGGGCTGTTACCCTGGAGTCCTGGTCAAATTTCCCATTAGCCTTTACCAGTCATCGCCTCCTAATAATCCCCATCCATGAACTGGCTTCATCACTCTGCTCTCCTCCCCACTGATAGCTGGTGTGTGGTGAGCGTTCTGGCGCCCTATGGCTGCCGTCACATCATCCAGGTGGAGCTGCACATTGGTGGTGGTGGAGGGGAGTCCCCGTTACCTTTTAAAGCGCTTTAAATGGAGTGTCTAGAAAAGTGCTATATAAGTGTAAGCAATTATTAGGTCTCATTACTGCTGATCACGTATTCAGTCAATTAGTCACTCAGGGTGCAGACTCCAGTTACTAAAAGCCGAACAAGCCAGGTTCACTTTAGTTTTGCTAAATCCAAAGAAGTAGCTGATCAGACTCATCATTGACATCAGCATTGGGTTTACATATATTGTATTCCTTGTTGCTCCAAACAACATTATGAATCCACATGACAAGCTGATCGCCCTCTGTAGGCTGTAGACCTTTTAGGAATAGGCCAAGTAACTTGAAATCGTCATTCCAGTTCTGATCGTACACTATTTTCAAATTTTCCTGAAATCAGATGGCCTAGATTTCTTCCCCAAACTGAAATGTTATTTATAATATTTAAATGTGACACTTTTTAAAGAATTATGTATGAATTATGAGGGTGTCCTCCATTTGACCTCGCAAGTGTTCATGACATATTCATACCAAACAGGGGTGGCAGGGGATTTTAAAGACTAACACGTTGAGTTTTGTCGCACACATTAATCAGCCCTGGCTTTAGTGGAGTACCCAGAAATGTTGATGTATTTAGAAAGGGTGTGGCAGGTCATCTTCAAAAGCAAAAAGAAAAAACGTTCTGTGTTATTTCCCATTAAAGCTTTAGTACAGTCAGTTTTGACCACCACAAAGCCCTGTCCTCTGGACTAACCAGAGAGCTTCCGAGAATAACTGATTTTGGTGGCTTTGCATTTTGACTGTAACCCAGATTCTTCAGTACCTTGAGAATATATAGGGTATGACCCACAAATCACAGACTTCAGTACCCAAAGAATGGTGCAGCCAAAAAAAGAGTCCTTTGATGTTAAAGAATCGTCACAAATCGACTAAAACGCTGATCTTATTCCCCAGTCAGGAAAAAGAAAAGCCCTCAGCCCTCTTTGGACTGGAAATTTAGCAGCAAAGGAATTACTGCTCCTTAGAATGTAAACATTTTCTTTCTTCTTTTAGCTTTCTTGAAGAAGAGAGAAAGGGACTGCTGGCAGAGAACAGATATATATATGTTGCTGTTTTTTTTTTTAATACTATTAAGTAGTCTTGACCGTCATCTGAAAAAGAAAACCACTGGGCATCATTCTGTTTGTGTGGGAGCTCTGTCAGCTGGAACGAATGCTGTACATTGAAATGTATTAATCTCTGAAGCCAAACCAACAAGCCGGCGTCTCTTTGCCACATCTACAGACACTCCAGGCAAGAAGGATATCCATTTATTTGCAGTCTTGATCCTCAAGAACGAGCGCTAGCGCGAACGCGTCGGAGCATGGGTCATTTTGATGGTCAAGGAAGCACTTCAGAGCTCCTAGCAGACAAACGAATGGAATAGGGCTGGATTTAAAAAAAAGTTGACACTTTTCTCCCTCACTTCTGAGGCAGCTGTTTTAAACTGTTACTGTCAAGAGTTTTCCATTTTTGTCTCAAGCCTGTTCTTTGCCTTTTCTCCACTTGATCAGTGCTGGAAAAGTATGGATGTCTTTCCAACACATCAAGACCCTAGCCGTGTCTGTTTTCTGTGTCTTTGACAGCTGTTCAAAAAAAAAAAGAGTCCAGCCACATTAAAAGGAGGCTACCGCATAACAGCGAAATTGTCCAATTTCCCACACTCAGTCCACACCCATGGTACAGTACATCTGTCAGCTGTCTATACAGGCCCAGTGTGACTCTAAAGGCCTGTCTCACAAATATAGATGAGTTAATCTGCTTTGTTTTCTGGATGTTGCATTTGAATTATTTCAACAGCAAGGCTGGGTGGTACTGTGATCGGCACTGCTGCCTCACAGATCCTGGGTTCGACTGCAGCTTTCTGGGAGCTGGCCATGTTCTCCCTGTGTGCGTGTGTGGGGTTTTTTTTTTCCCACCAGGCGCACCAGTTTCATCCCACCTGATTAAAATGCAAAGGCAGTATTTGATGTCTCCAGATCGTGTGCGAGATGCACACATGAATTCAGTAGTTGGGTCAAATTCGAATAAGGGTAAAACAAGCTGTCAGATGTAGAAAAAGGGACGGCGCACTTAAAACTTTGGCGTTAACTCGCCTGGCTGAAGAAATGACTGTGCTGGCCAAAGATCAACACTGTCACATCTCTCCCCCCTCCTTGCTTTTGAGAGATGAGCCAGTGAGAAAATGCTACAATGGTGATGTTGGGGTGGAGGAAGAGCTCTAAAAGAGCTGTACACTGTACGCTCAGAGTTGTGGGCAGCCAAGGAAGAATTTATACACAGGGGAGCTTAAGTATGCCATTAGAATTTGACCTCCTCCCAAATTATATCTGTTAAATAACACCATTAGTATCACGGGTGAACATTTCAGTATGTTGTGGTTGTGTAGAATTCTCCAGCATTCCGAACTTGAGCCATTCGTAAGAGCTTGCCTGACTGGCTTGATTAGGAAAAGTCAAAATGCTCAGCCATGACTTTCAAATGCAAAGCAGGTTCTGAGGTTCCTTTTGACTGCCAAAGCAAGTGGCCATGTTTAACATTTGGATTAAGATTTAATAAAACGCTAAAATAAGATGTTTTGTCAGACTTCAAGCCCCAATTTATTCCACTGCTATTTTAAATCTCCCACCCTATGTACCAAGGACACCAGCAAACCTGTCAGGGCATTGATATCTATGTATACAATGGACATATAAGAAGTCTATGGTGATTTATTCTGAACTGCAAGATTTTTTTAGGATTCAATAAACCTCTGTAGCCTTTTTATCTTATGTATTTCTTTCCTTGCAGTTATTTAAAAGTTTAATTTTGCTTAATTCCCGTTACATACAATGTATATTTCATCATTCCTTATATGGGAGTGAACTTTTGCTGAAGAATTTCCCACACAGTTAACCTTGTATGTAAATAAAGGGAAGGGCAAAATCAATATAATGACCCCTTAATAATGCTTGGTTTATACTGTGTGATTTTGGCTCCATTTAGTAATATAAAATAAATCCTATCAATTATTAATTCAACCAGACTCAACAAAAACTTTGCCAAAACAGAGATTCAAAATGTAAACACAAACTACATGTATGATTTTCAGCGGAGGTTCCATTTCCAACCACAGAGAAAATAGATTCAGATTCATTTAATACATACTATCTGCTTCAATCCTCTAGGCAGAGTTACAGTTCCTATTCTCATTTAGCCTTTCAAATCCAATGTGAACACTGCACTTAATAAAAATGCTACTTATTTTGATTTTATGTTCAGGCATTGTGTTCTAACAACAAAAAGGTACTTTTCTAATATTTTTAAGTTAAATCTTCATACCCATTGTTCCATCCAAAATGTTAATTTCTGTATGAATTTTCATGTGCACAATATTTCTTAATGAAGAAATACTTTCATTAAGAATCTACCTGATTTGTAAATTCCTCCATTCATATTGCCTTCCAATTTCTCCACGGTTTTCAGCAAACTTCCAATCATTGTCTCTTCCACATGGTAATGTACTGTAGCTGCTCTTCAAAATTCTTCAAAATTCCTTCTCCTTTTCACTGTTATATTTGAGACCATTTAAGCCTAAAATATTGACTGAAAAAAATAGCTTTTAGCCCCTGGTGGATTTTTTTCTTCTCTTCTCCGTCTCACAACATTTCTGAATTGCTTGCTTTTCTGTTTCTGCCTGAAAGACTGCTGGGGTATACCTGTCACACAAGAGGAAAAGTGGCTGTTGAAGAAATGTGACTGTTTTCATATGAGCATTGCCTAATCAGTGCATTTCAGATTTCTTTTCTCGCAAAAACTAGTTTTAGATTCATTGAGGATGAATAACTTCTCAACTTCATATACAGGATGTACTGTAAAACAGTTGGGACTGGGTGTAAGTAACAGGAGATATGTGGTCATTTACAATGAACTACAAATATCAGATTACAAGAGGGGTTGTGGTTAACTAATGACTTGCAAAACCAGGAACAGGTTTAACAGCTATTGACGGTCTCCTTCCTGGAAGAAAGCAAAACGGTCTGTGACCTTTGAAGAGGACCACTCTTGTTTCTTCAAGAGCTTCCTTCACTTGTCTTGGAGATCTACACACGTGCTGCTCTCATCTGATTCGTACCAGCTGTCCATTACATAACGCTGAATTGACTTGATACTGCGATTAATTTCTATCCATCCACCCATGGGTGCAATCCAGGCACTCCGGACAGAACATCAGTCCGTCTCGGGTCACACAACACTCAAACGTGCACTCGCCAGGGTGAATTTTCTGATAAGCGAATTAACATAGCAGTGTGTTTTTATGACTGTGCAAGGAAACCAGAGCAGCCGATGGAAACCCACTCAAACGCAAGGAGAACATATTGTAGTGCTCTCGGGTTCACGTGGGTATGCGCCCTCGACACTGCCGCCTCGGGTCGGCTCCCCACCACTGGGGACTCGAACCCCGGCCTACGGCGTCACTCAACAGGGACCCAGCCAGCTGAGCTAAAGGGAAATATCCCGTCAGCCCTCTGGCTGCAGTCCCTGCTATTCACAGGAAAGGGTGTTGACGTCACCGTGCTGGTAAGCCGGCTCAAACAACCTGTAATGGCAGCCGTATGCATTACACTCTCCACCGCTTAATTCACTGTCCTCAGTGAAGGGCTATCCCATCCCACTGCTGACACCAATGTAGCACTCTCGCATTCACATTTGTATGCGCCCTCGCCGCTGGTGCCTCAGGTCGGCCCCCCACTGCGGACTCGAACCCGGGCCTCCGGCGTTACTTAACAGGGACCCAGCCAGTTGAGCTAAAGGGAAATCTCCCATCATTACTAATTATGCAATATTTAATTATGCATTACAATATAAACTCCACACAGACAGCACCCCAGGTCCAGAATTCAAGCCAATGAGACAGCAATGCTAACCACTGCACCACCAGTCCGCCCTTTCAGATTAATTCAAACTCTATAAATGTTTTCAGTTCCTAAACGCACAATAAAGTACTTTAACTGCTTACACAAGTATATAAAGATATATCTCCAAACTTAAAAAAACACACATCTTGAAAAGGTTCCTATCGAGAAGAGTTCTAGTTCATTTAAGGATTCAATCTAGCACAGAGCTAAGATGGAATGAAAACTAGCAGGTATGTGTGTGGTTCCCAAGGAAACATGGCTGGGAGCCACTGGTACCATTATTTCTTCTAGTACTGCCTGCTAAATAAAGATTTTGTTTTTCTTTCAGTATCCTAGATCAGAACTCCTTAACTTCAAATCCGTGCCATTGAAGAATTTTGTGATTTTTGGTGAAATTTATGAATTTTTAGCAGTTGTGAGGCCCTGAGCAGAAACACCCTACAAGGTCTTTTTTTAAAAATAAGGTTATCGAAATGTTTTTCCAACAGGTCTCTGGGAACGATAACAGTAAAATAACACTGGAAGAAAAATAGAGCTTTTTCCATAGACAATAGGAAAATACTGTAGGTATAACACTGCCCTTCAGTCTGAGCTGTAAAGGAAAATAAGAGCAACAGTGTGGAGGTGGGGAAAAATATTAATTAGAAACAAGCTTTCACAGGAGGGGCAGATTCAATCTCTGTTGTCTAAAGGTTGGGCAATCTGACAGGGCTCCTCCTTGGATTTGATTCCATTTTAACACCATCTTCTTCCCTGCTTGGCACTCCATTTGTACTGTCTGGATCAGGATGCTCAGCTGATCCTTCTGTAGTGTGATTGCTGGTGTGCTGTTAACCAGCCTGTGATTAGTGTGCCACCACAAGCAAGGAGGAAGCATTGAAAAAGACCAATCTAAAGCATGGGAAAATACTACACCTCACCACACACATCCCCATGTGGCATCACACAGGGTTAGTCTAATTGCAGTGAAGTACTGAGTCGATTGGATGGGCCTCATGTTGAGTACTCTAAACCCCAAGTGGACCCAACCCTGATCCCTGCTTCTACTCATTTCTGTTTCACCTGAGTTTTGCATCTCCACTGATAATTGATTACTTTTCAGTAGTTTTGGTTAGATACCAGAATGAATGTGATACCAAAGTTCAGGGCTTAAATCCATTAATAATAATTGCTTACACTTATATAGCGCTTTTCTGGACACTCCACTCAAAGCGCTTTACAGGTAATGGGGATCCCCTCCACCACCACCAGTGTGTAGCCCCACCTGGATGCAACGGCAGCCATAGTGTGCCAGTGCTCTCCCCACGCACCAGCTCTCAGTGGGGAGGAGAGCAGAGTGATTAAGCCAGTTCAGAAATGGGGTTTATTAGGAGGCCATGATTGGTAAGGGCCTGGGGGATATTGGGGTTAATGCCCCTACTCTTTTCGAGAAACACCTTGGGAGTCAGTACCTCGGTTTTACGTCTCATCCGAAAGACGGCACCTATTTTACAGTATAGTGTCCCCATCACTATACTGGGGCATTAGGACCCCTATAGACCACAGGGTGAGTGCCCCCTGCTGGCCCCACTGAAACCTCTTCCAGCTGCAACCTGGTGTCTGTCTTTGTGGAATTAGAGTGTAGCAGTCTTTCCCTGCCACCCAAAGAAATGCTGGCTTGGACCGATTTGGCTTTCTCACCTCTGGACTAGCATCCTGTCCAGGGGAAGAGCAGTTGTATAATCTCAGTCCCATCATGTACCTTATATTTCTGCAGTGGACAACCCACATTGAGTCTCTCATAAGGAATGTACTGATAATGGATGAATGGAGAATTCTCCCAGACCAGCTGGTATGGTTTCTAGGATCTGAAGAAATTGTATTTTAAGTTCAAAATTTGAGATCAATACATACAGTATATTACTGGCATCAAGCTGTTGGCGAATAGAAACAGCTTGAACTCTATCAGGCTTCTACCTCCATAAAATAGTAGATATGCAATATAACAACTAAGAAAGAGACAAATTATTCAAACTTAATGATTTAAAATAGAGGTTGTGTAGTGAAATGCATACAGTTGGGTTTTGCAATTCTTGTGTACTATAGTGCGTTTGATGTATAGAACATTTTTTCTTTCTGTATTTGCTAGCTTTTGCATTTTGGCTTTTATTAACAAATTTTTAAGTTTGTTTTATGTATTATGCAAGTGGGTCTTGACTCAAAGGACTCCCAGCATGACCTGTTTGCACACTGTGGTTCATGTAAAATGTCGACCCCCCTTGTCAATATTTGGATATGCTTTTTCCCTATGAAGGAAATTTCTTAAACTTCCCCTGAGTGAGTTTTTCTGTGCCGGTTCAAGTTAGTTATTAAGCTAATAAGCAGCCTTTGGAGGTGAGAGGTTTATAGTCCTGGCTGTCACTAAATTCAAGGTAGCACAATTGGAAGGCTTTTTTTTTTATTTGAAAATTCCAGTGTTGTAGTGGAAATGGCTCTTGTGCCCAAGCAACTCTCCATCTGATCTGGTCTGCTTTAAATCCGGTGAGCTCTTGTGTTGCCAAGTGAATTTAAAGGACAGTCCTTAAAAAAATAAGAGGTCCAATTTCAGCTGTGATCGTCATAAGTTAAACAGAGAAGTCTAACTTGTTAATGGAAAAAAAATCCAGTGGCTTCAATGAGACGTTCGTTTTGAAATGTTGCAC